AAACTCGATAGGGTTTCTGATACTTGTGTAAATTATGCTTAGTTACAACCGTCATAACTTTATTATAATTCATTTTTTAATTTTATTTATATCCTTTCAGGTTGTAAGTTTTTGGATAATTCAATTTTTTTAATTAAATCAACCTTTTATATATATCTATATGTTTTAATTACTAGCCAGTAAGCATATTTCTCTATAAATTTATTCTCAATGTTAATAACTTATAATAAACGTTTTGGATCAATTATTAGATTGTAAGTGCTGTGTGGTATTCAATTAATATATTATTTTATTCACGGACTATTTCCTGATGTTCACTTTTCTGATATTTCATTAATAATATCACTAATGACGTATCCAAGTAGTCACCTATACCCTAAGTAATAATTTGGTCAGGTGATAATTTATATATTAAAGTAACAATTCCAAATAAGTGGCTACTTCGGATACAACAATAAAGCTATATGAAAAATTACAAGAAAAATGATTATACCAAAGGTGGGAAAAAATTTTGTTGTACGCAACCAAGGAGGGTTGCTGCAATGAATGTTGCCGCTTGTGTAGCAGAAGAAATGAGTGTAAAACTTGGATATGAGGTAGATATTCGTAATGATTAATGATTTATTATGGTCCATATATCTTATCTAATTTATCATAATTATAGGTCGGATACGCGATTAGGTTCGAGGATTGTACTTCAGATAAAACTATAATTAAATATATGACCGATGGTACTCTTTGAAAATTTTATCTACTCCTTTATTAGATGATTATAATTGTTTAATGATCGATGAGGCACACGAAAGAATTTTACCTTATTCGGTTTAGTAAAGGTAATATTAACATCAAATTATCTTATTTCTAGAATTTTATAAATTATTATAAATGTAATTAACATTTCTCATAATAATTCAAGGATATTGCCCATGTAAGACCTGATCTCAAACTTTTAATTTCAAGTGCCACTTTAGATACTCAAAAGTTTGCAGAATACTTTGATGCACCAATTTTCAATAGTAAGAATTTAAACATAACGTTAATTCTCTTTATTCCATTTACATTACATAAATAACATCGATTACATTTATTTATTCTAAATATAAAGTCCCTGGCAAGCCTTATTCTGTACAAATATGCTACACTAAAGCACCTGAAGCAAATTATATATCCGCTGCTATCACTACGGTAATGCAATTGCATATTTCACAAAGAATGGTGACATATTGGTTTTCCTTACAGTAAGTATAAGAATAATTACATGTTTTAATATTCTACAATGTTTGAATATTTATCATTAATTAATAATTTTTTTTTTTTACAATTATTTTAATTAATTTATCTTAGTTTTTAATGTAGGTCATTTTAGCTACCAATATAGCCGAGACTTCAATTACTATTGATTGTGTCACATTTGTTATTGGTCCAGGTTTTGTTAAACAAAATGTATACAGTCCAAAAACCAGAATGGAATCATTGTTATTGTTCCAGTAAGTATTAATCAATTTCTCATGTGTTCATATCATATACATTTGTATAAAAATTATTTTAAATTATTTTATAGTGTTCAAGAGCTTCAGCAGTTCAGAGATCTGGAAGAGCTGGACGTGTTGGACCAGGTCATTGTTTTAGATTATATACTCAACATGCGTTTCACGAGTTGTAAGAAAACACCGTTACTGAAATTCAAAGAACTAATTTAGCTAATGTGGTTTTATCATTGAAGGTTTTTTCTTTAAATCATATTCTTGCATTGTTTATGTGTATATTGTTTATAAAAAGTCTAATAATGACGATTTCAGAGTAGTGTTGGCAGGCGAAACCTAAGAGTTTCGCCACAGACGAAAGGCGAAACTAGTTTCGACTTTCGCCAAAAAAAAATCGAAATGGCGAAACTGGCGAAAGGTGGCGAAACTGCGAAACTGCTAATAGGTGGCAAAATTGGAAAAAGGTAGTAAAATTAGTAAAAAAATGGTAAAACTAGCAAGAATAGAAAGGTAATTAAAGAACATTTTAAGTTTTTTTATATAATCATCAATATTTTTATTTATATATATAGCATAGCGCGATACTCTTATTCATGACGCATCAATTTGATTGGCTAATTTTGTCGATCATCATTACACGAATTTAATAAAAAAATAAATAAAATTTCAAACTTTAACTTTTTTAATAATATTATAAAAATAGACGGCTCAGTCTTTTCAGAAGTCTTAGAGGATTTGATCTTCGTTAAGTTTTGACTTTCCCTAGGGGTTCAACTTTAGCAGGAGTTTCGCCAGAGTTTCGCCAGGTCTCGTCTTTCGCCGGGTTTAGTTTCGTCTTTCGCCATTTGTCAAAAATAGTTTCGCCTGCCAACACTATTTCAGAGTATAGGAATTCATGATATGATGAGGTTTTAATAGCTGCACTTAATGATTTATACGCTCTAAATAATAATGGGAACTATCCAAATTAGGTATAAGTGGATTTTAGTAGGGCTTATATTTTTAAATCAAGGTCCCTAATTTCCAGCTTTAGCCGTGGCAAAAATTATAAAAATGAATCTTTTCTAAATTTATTAATTTGTGTAATTAATTTATTTTCATTCAATTAATATACAGTGAGTAGATACAAACTATTCAATGAATTGGTGTTATGAAAATTTTGTAGTTTATCATTCAATGTCTAGAGCAAGAGATGTTTGTGATCAACTTGTTGTCTTTGTTAACATGCTGAAGTAGATTTGACATCTAACCCAAATCCTGGTGACATTGTACCAATTCAAAAAGTATTGAATAATATTATTTAATATTATTATTTAATTATAAATTAAAATTATTCTAATAACATAATTTATATTATCTTAGTCAATTGTGACAGGATTTTTCATAAATGCTGCAAGGATTTACGTTTTGGTGGTCATATCAAAAAGCAAAATATGGTGAACCAGGTCGAATGATACATATTCATCCCAGCAGTTCTTTATTTCAAGTAAATTCAAAATGGATACTATTTTATGAATTGGCACTTAGTAAGTAGTATATGTGTCAAGTAATGGAAATTAAACCTGAATGGTTAACAGAAGGTTTGTTTTTATTTTATTAATCTTAAAAAAAAATCTAACTTTATTGTTTCTTGAATGAAATATTAACTTTAAAATTTTTAATAACAGTTGTTTTATATTATTATTCAAAATTAGAATTAAATAATTTAGATGGTAAAAAGAAAATGTTAAAAAATAATCAAATTATATAATTTTAATAATTAGCAAATCAAGGGGTGTGGTGACCTAGTGAAGTGGTCAGGTTGTCAACTTTCAAGTGCAGGTTCAGAGTTTAAATTTTAGTGTTGACAGAAAATTTAAAAATCTTTTTTGTGTTATGATTAACTGTCTTTTGCAATTGGTTGGGATAAGATATCTGTTACCTGTATTGCACCAACATGACTAGCAGGTTACATAATATTTGTATAACAGTTACATGACATTGTTCTTTGGGACAAGGTCTGTAGTTACATAAAGGAATATAAATCAGTACCAGGTGATGCAAATCTACAATAAGTTTTCATGATTATATAAATCATAAGAACTAAAAGAAGAAAAATAAAAGTCTACTTGGAAGACTCGAATAGAAAGATAATTCAAATTTTTGATAGTGTTATTGTAAAGATTAGATTTATAAAACAGAATTAGAACTTGTGAAATTAGACAAAAGTGCTGATCTTTAGAAAGAGACTAGATAAACCAATCAGGTCATCAGAATTTTCAGGTTTTGGAGAAAAAGAATACATGTTGGCAAACATGTAAATCAGAGGTATATAATTTTGATCTATCTTTCTAGGTTATCTGAAATAGCAGCTTGGTAGAACTTGAATTAAATACCAAAATAGTAAGAATATATTGTGAAGTCAGTACTAAGGTTGGCATAAACTCTACAAAGACATAATGTTTTAATAGTATACCCTAATTATCAATATTGGTCTTGATTATAGTGATACTGGGTCAACTGTAAGAATAAGATACAGAAGATTTTAGAAGATTTAGTACAAGGTCAAAGGTTTTAAAAAACTGTTTTAAAGACTTAATGATCAAGATATTTTTATTAATATTGCATAAGATCATTAATAAGCAAAGATAGATATGTGAATATGAAAACTAGAATAGTTAAATAGGAAATCTACAAGTAGGTTCTAGATATGATAACTAGTATAAAACCTTCAGGTGGACTATTTAAATTAGACAATAACTAAAAGTTATATGAGTAACTAGTTATATATTTTTTTTATAATTGCCTTTTGTTATTGTAATACAACTATTGGTCAAATATACTATTAATAAAATTCTGGATCACAAATATTCACCTTAATATTTAAAAAATAAATAAATAAATAAAAATAATTAGTAAATTAGAATATTATGTAACAATTTTAAATAATTATAATTAAAAATTTTAAAAACTTTGCAAATTTTATTATTGTATTTTAATTTTATATAATTAAAGATTTTAACTTAAATTAGATTTTATTAATAAAATTTTTTATTTATATATGTTAAATTATATTTAAGAAATAAAATATATAGTTTTTTTATAGAGTTAAAATATAGCTAACTTATAATAAAAAGTTATTCCAGTTCTAATAATAATAGAATTATTTAAATTGGTTTAGTAAACTGTAAATATTTACTAATTTTTATTATAAATTTATATCTTTTAATTGTAATCTACTATATAAACAATCATAAAACTATTTAGAAAATATTTACTTTATAAAAATATATCAATAACTATAAAAAGTTTGCTTAAAAGATTATATTTTATTATTTATTATTAAAATAGTTAAATAGATATATTTGTATGAAGAAACACAAACCAGTATCAGGCAGTATAAGCTCAAGATAAGTCCTTAGGCTGTGTAAATCATAGGAACTAGGTAGGAAGATAAAAGCCCACTTGGAAGATCCAAGTAGAGAGGTAACCTGAACCTTTGATGATACTACTGTAAAGACTAAACTTATAAAACAGAGCTAAAACTTGTAAAATCAGACAAATATGCTAGTCTTTAAAAGAGACCAGATGAACTAACCAGATTGCTAGAATTTCTAAGTTTTAGAAAAAAAAGATACATGTTGGCAAACATGTAAACCAGAGATATAATCTTATTCTATCTTTTTAGACTATTTGAAATGACAGCATAATAGAACTTAAATTGAATACCAAAATAGTAAAGATATGTTGTAAAGTTAGTATCAAAGTTGAGGTGAACTCTACAAGAGCATAGTGGTTTAATGATACACCCTAACTGTCAGTATTAGTCTTGGCTATAATGATACTAGGTCAGCTGTAAGAATAGAATACAGAAGATTCTGAAAGATTTAGTACAAGGTCAAAAGTTTCCTATATAAGTGAACTGCTTTAAAGACTTAGTAATCATGATATATTTTCACCAACATCAGCTAAGATCATTGGTAGACAAAGAAAAATAAATGGATATGAAAACAGAGTAGTTAAATAGGAAACTTACAAGTAGTTTCCAGGTATGACAGCTGGTATAAAACCTTTAGATGAACTACTTAAATTAGACAATAACTAAAGTTGTATAAGTGGCTAGTTATACACTCTCTTTATAGTCGTCTCCTGTAATTGTAATACAATTATTAGCCAAATATACTACCAATAAAATTCTGAGTCACAAGTACTTACTTTAATATTTAAAAAAAAAAAAAAGGTAAATAGGTATATAAGTTTTAAATTTTATCTTAAAAAAGTATTAAGACATTAAAAGTTTTAACTCTTTTAAAAAATTTTATTTAATGTATTTTTTTTTTTTTTTTTAATCTTAAGCAGTTATGCTAGTACTTTATTAAGATTTTTAAAACTAAATACATTTATAATTACATAGAATTTTCCAATACTCAAGTCTAGCATTACTCAGCCACCCTATTGGTACCTAAGTGCAACCTGCTGCACTATCTCAATTAGAGATAGACTGCTTGTCTAACTACTTAAAGCTATACCAGAAAGGTCTTTCCCTTTCTGTAACAAGTATATCGATTGTCTTCAAAACTTCTTCCTTTATTCAGTTTGTTTTTTCTACTTCCTTTTCCTTTTCTTCTTTCTTTGCTGCCTTATTCTTTTTTCCTCTTTTCTCTGATCTTCTTTTAATTCAAGTACCTTTTTTCATCTTGTTTGTTATATTAACTTCCTTTTCTATTCTTGTACTTTTCTGCATCAAACTCTTTATACTTGGTCAAAGAATGTATTTCACACTGTTCTTGTGACTATATTTATGCATTTTTGTGTTGCCTAGCTATTTAAAATCTAACTGATCTGCTTTCCAACTTTATTCGTTATTAGCCTTTTTATTAAAGCTATCCTATTAGCAATTTCTTCTTCTTCTGTTTTTCCAAATAATGCCTCATATAGTACTAAAGATAGGATTCTAACTTTTTTATTTTCTTTAAGACTATTCCATGCTGCTGCTGTTGCTACCTTTTGGATTCTCTTCCACAAACTTTTTTGTCTGTTGCAGCTTGCTAGGTGTGCTTGAGTTTCCTTTTCACCTTCTTGATATACTTGGCAGTCAGTCATTTTATATATTTTTGATCTTCTTTTATTTAATTTTTCTAATGTTGGCAGGCTATCCATTATGCATTTAATCGCAGTTGCTCTTCTTGTGCTAAGTCTTCTTGATGTGCAATAAACACCTTTTGTTCTATTTATCTCTTTTCAAAAGTTTGACTAATTATATTAAATATTCTCTGTTTTTGGTTCTAGTGCTCGAATTGGGTTTGTTTCTCTTCAACTAGCTTCAATTCTGATATTTGTGACTATTTTACAAAGAAGTCTTGTCAGTATATCAACTTTCCTGTTTTCCTATTCTAAATAATACTCTATCTTGTTACTTTTGATCTTTTCTATAAATATTGTTCTTTCACATGTAGCTCCTTTTTTTGCAAGTATATCTGCTCTGTTATTCCACTTATCATTACTATGCCTTTTAATTTTAACTAATTCTATTCTATTGTTCTTGCTTTTAAGTAGGTCTATAATATTTATCATCTACATTGCATTTTTCTTTTTTAAGACTCTGTCATCTCCTATTTTTTGAAGTGCTCTGTTAATATATCTTAGTGCTGCAAGACTGTCTGTATGCACTTCTATACACCTTCCTTTTAGTATAGTTAAAATTGCTAACCATATTGCCACTAATTCTGCTGTTGTTGCTAAGGTCTAACCTTCGAGTCTTAGTATCATTTCTTCTTCTGGCTAGTTTTCTTTATTACTAACCTGCACCCAACCAATGCCCATTTTCCTTATATTGTTTTTTTTTTTCTTTTTATATAATGCTCCATCTGTATAAAGAGTATATTTGTTTTTGTTTCTTTTCTTGTTTCTTGTTAGGGCTTCTATTATATAATCTGTGACTTTACTATCAAATTTTTGTTTTTTGATTAACTTTATTTCTACTATAACTCATTCACTTGTTTAAGCTCGATTAAGCTTCTTTCTTCTTTTTTTCATTCTTCTATTGTTCTGTTTTCTAGCATTTGTTCTAGTGTTGCATTAATTTTATTACTGCTTTTCTCTACTAATGTTTCTGAAACTGCCTTTATATTATTGTTCCATCTTATCTACTTTTCACAGATATCTGTTATTTGCTCTATTCTGTTATCATATCCTTTGCATTTGCTTATTTCAGTATATGTCTTGCCTTCTACTTTCTGTAGTAGCCAGTGCTTGGCTAAGATTTTTTTTTTCTTCTTTAATATCTTACTAAGTTGCTAATTGTGTTTTAATTCATGTACAATTCACTCTTTCTTTCTTTTGCCTTCAGAAATCTTTGTCTATTTAATCATTAGCACCTGTATATTGTAGTCTTCGATCTTATATTGATTGTGTATTTCTTTGCTTGTCTGTGTTATTAACATCTTTTCTTTTATTTCACTGAACTATTTGGCTTTCTTCCCTTTACTTGACAGCCCTAGAAGACTTTTAAGCTATCTCCACATAATAAGATTCTCTTCTTTTATGTCCACCAGTTGGTTTAAATATATTAAACTCTATCTATTTATTGTGCTGCTACTTG